ATATGTAGAAATCGTATGTATTTACCATATGTTCTCCGACAGAACGTGGTTGTCATCCACCTCGTGCCAAAGCAATAGTATATCACACTTCCTTAGTCTATCAATATAATTGACCACTCATCAGCCCGTTCTCACTCACTCACCCACCTATCTTTTCATATACTTCTCCCACACAGCATGGCGTTCTCCTTCACTTATCAGGGCAACAGCACATCCAAGTTCCCTGGGCTGTACAAAGGAGGTGCTCCGCCAGCTTATAAGAATGCCAAGGTGCCTCGCGTCTCAGTAAAGGGTACGCTATACATGTACAGAGTTTTAATGATAAAACATTATGTCGTGTATGTATGTGTATTTGTACAGAGTTTTAACGTTAAAATATTATGTCGTGTATGTATGTGTATTTGTACAGAGATTTGACGTTAAAACATTATGTCGTGTATGTATGTATACTTGTATATAACTTTCAATTTAAATCAATATATCGCTTATGTGTGCGTACTTGTACATAACTTTAACGTTAAAACATAATGTCGTGTATGTATGTGTACTTGTCAGAGTTTTAACGTTATAACATTCTGTCGTGTATGTATGTATACTTGTACGTAACGTTAACGTTACAACATTATGTCGTGTATGTTTACTTGTATAGTAGAGTGTATGTATACCGTTGCATGGACAGGCACTGCGTAGCCATCCTACATGTGTACGTGTGTGTATGCACAGATGCATATTTGTACAGTTATGTATTTGTACATATTTCATATATACATATGTGTATATATACATCAGTGTATTTGTACATATTCTTGTATGTACATAAGTATATACGTACATACGTGTATATATACATCTATGTATTCAAACGTATTAGTACATGTACATACGTGTATAGTACCTATTGCCCGAGGGTTGGGTATGCCATCTTTGAGACAAGCGGTACATTAACACTGACGTTAATGTGTATGCACATTTGTGTACATTTACGTATGAGTATATGTATACGGTTAGAGCGCTTGTAGCCCATAATAACTGCTGTGCTATGTAACGTATATGTATGTATCTATGTATCGTATATGTATGTATCTATGTATCGTATATGTATGTATCTATGTATCGTATACGTATGTATCTAAACACATGTTTGTCTGTACTAGGGCAGAGCACCTGAAGCCTGAGTAATGGGTATGCTAGTTGTGTGCATACTTGTACATGAGGGCATGTACACACGTACACGCACCCATGGGTATACGTATACGAGAATAATCGATCTGTGATCTAGCAGCTGGGAGTGGACTATGGATATAAACATTTACGCACCTGTGTGTGTTTGGGTTTCAGGGTTTTAGGGTTTTATGTTTACGGGAATGAACTATTTATAGTGGTCTAGTATCTGACAGTGGGCTATGGATGGACTGTCCACTTGTGTAGTTGTTGCATATATGTGTAACATATGTGCATAGGTGTATACTACAGTCTATGGATTTCTATTTGCTCATATCTGTATTAGGTATGTATGTATATGTATATATAAATATGTATGTTTATATGGTAGTTGTATTATATAGATATAAATATATATATATATATAATATATATATATATATATAATATATGTATTTATATATATATATATATAGATATATATGTATATATATATATATATACGTATATATACTTACACATGTCGGTGCTTGTGTATCTGTGTTTGTCCTTATGCACTAGTGCGGGAATGTGATTTTAAGTTTGTATTTCTGTGGCTAGTTGTAGTTGTGAATGGGCTGTTATATATATATATACATATATTCATTGCACCAAGATATCACCACATACGCCATAGTCTACTGACCTCTACGTTTTATATCTATGTCTGTGTCTTCTCCTCCTTCTTCTGTGGTCGTCTCCAGAGAAAGACAACCATTCGTTGCACCAAGATATCACCAAATACGCCAGTAGCTCCACTCCCGTTTCGCCGCGGACAGCTGCACTCAGCAAAGACGGGAAATTTAAAAATAGATCAAGCTTCACGGTTGAGGAATTCAGTCAAGATGCCTTCCAGGTAGGTAGACCTCCGTGTTCTGTATGTACCGAGTCCTGTACTAAAAATAGAACACGTTCGACCCCTGACGAATCGGGTGAAGATACATAATAGGTAGGTAGATTGTGTTGTGCTGAAAGGAATGTGCACACTTAATCCTCTATCCACACTCCATCCTTCTATTATCATTCCAATCACCTACACTACACCTAATCCTCTATCCACACTCCATCCTTCTATTATCATTCCAATCACCTACACTACACCTAATCCTCTATCCACACTCCATCCTTTCACCTACACTACACCTAATCCTCTATCCTTCTCCTCACAGGATCTCGACCGCACCCGTTCATCGCTAGACCTCGCCGATCTCGAGCGCAAACTGGTCACAAACGACTCACACGTCGTCAACAGATCCCGAGGACTGTCTACAAGTCAAGAGAACCAGCCCATGCCACCCCCCACCTCCACCCCATACAAAGCACAGGACGAGACGATCCACGAGACAGTCAGCCGGAAGACCTCCACGTCATCGTATGTGGTGGGGTGGGATGTGTGTGTGTGTGTGTGTATGTATGTGTGTAGGTATGTGTATGTATGTGTGTATTTGTGTTGTGTGTTTGTATGGATGTGTATTGTGTGTATATGTATGTATG